TAATTTATTTGCTCAATATTTTATTGATTTTACTCGAAAAGGATCCCCATATGTAGCCCTACATAAAAACGGGACAAGAAAGTGATACTGCACCCTAATGATATTGAGGAACGGCTAGTCTCTCCAAGTGCTCCAGTCAGAAGAAACGTTAAGTTGGCAATCCCTTCAGGAGAGGAAATGAATGACAGGATCACAAGTAGGCCACCAGACAATGCAGCATTGGCCAAAGCAATTAAAAAATTTGCCAGCCGCAATTGTTGGAAAAACAAACTATAAGCTGTAACTGATTACAACATTCTAAACATAAAATACGTACCGCTTGCCACTTTGTCTGTGGTTCACGTTGTTGTTTGGAATAAAGTTCATTTAACTCGCATAAGACAGCATTTTTAACGCCATTTCGCACATCATCGTTCCAGATCAATTCCGGATTCTCATGCGTTGAATCGAACATCGACAGTCTACAACATTTGTAATCTTCAAAACCGTTTGTAAACCCAGGCTGGAACGCACCAGGCGGGCCGGTGCGATTATTCGTTTTTGCACTTTTCGTACCGTGGCAAGATCGCAAGGAATCAAGGTGCCTAATCCTGAGAAATACTGACCCTCGAAGTTCGGGAAGTTAATTATGCAGCTATGTGGTATGTCAGTTGTAGGTGTCGACTTCAGTGACCCGTCAAATGGAAAGTTGCTGGTCCGCAAAAAAAGGCAATACTAGAAGAGTTTAGAAGAGTTAAGTTTAAAATCTTTTAGTCGCACATGAGCAGGAAACATTCCATTAAAATTAAAGCCTTCAGCTTTTCCCGTTCACGAGTAAGCAGCTTTCCCGTCAAAATTTTCACATTCCGTACGTGAGTATCGGACGGTTTTACGGAGCTGAATTTAAAATTTTTTGATCATACATGAGTAGGGAACATTATCCTAAAGTTTCAGCTTTCTAGCTTTTCCCGTTCCCGGATTCATAATTTTCGCGCCAAAATCTCCACGAGCTCGTACGTGGGTTCGGGCGCTTCTAAATACCTGATATTGCTCGTACATGAGTACGGAACATTCCCTTAAGGTTTCAGCTTTCTAGCTTCTCTCGTTCCAGGGTTAGTAATTTTTGCGCCAAAATTTTTACGCGCCCGTATGTGGGCTCGGGCGCCTCTAAACACCTGATTTTGTTCGTACATGAGTAGGGAACATATCCCTACAGTTTCAGCTTTCTAGCTTTTCCCGTTCCCGAGTTAATGATTTTCACGCCAAAATTTCCACGTGCTCGTATGTGGGCTCGGGCGCTTCTAAACACCTGATTTTGCTCGTACATCGCTCGTACGTGGGCCCCGGGCGCTTCTAAACACCTGATTTTGCTCGTACATGAGTAGGGAACATTCCCTGGTTTCATCTTTCTAGTTTCTCTCGTTCCCAGGTTAGTAATTTTCGCGCCAAAATTTCCACGTGCTCGTATGTGGGCTCAGGCACTTCTAAACACCTGATTTTGCTCGTACATGAACAGAGAACATTCCCTTAAGGTTTCAGCCTTCTAGCTTCTCTCGTTTTCGGGTTAATAATTTTCGCGCCGAAATTTCCACGTGCTCGTATGTGGGCTCGGACGCTTTCAAAAACCTGATTTTGCTCGTAAATGAGTAGGGAACATTCCCTTAAGGTTTCAGCTTTCTAGCTTTTCCGGTTCTCGAGTTAATGATTTTCGCGCCAAAATTTCCACCTGTCCGCACGTGAGCCCCAGGCAGTCCTGGGCAGCTGAATTTAAAAACTTTTGGTCGTGCATGAGTAGGAAACATTCCCCCAAAG